ATATAAATGCAGATTTTTACAGTTATAAATTTTTTTATTTGCTTTAAACATAATAAATAAATATAAATATATAATATTAAAACTGTTTTTTTTTTTTTAAATAACCAATACAATATTTGCTTTTATTATAAAAAATTAAAGTAAAATTTATTGTCGGTTTGCACGTTCATATACAAGAATAAATATTATGTATTCGTGCAGAATATAATATCTATTATACAATTATGATAGAATTATATATTAATTTAAATTCTGGCTTACTTGTGGTATAACTCCATCCATTATTATCTATATACTTGATAACTCCACTGATGTCCAGAACTGTATGAGAACTTTGTTTACAAAAGTTGATGGCATGTTTGCGAAATAATCAAAGAAAAAAAAAAAAAAATATCGTTTTCGTTCTAGATAACACTAGTGTTATCTAGAACGATAACACTGTGTGTGAATTATAAAATTAAGACTTGGTTTCCCTATTTTGTTCTGCTACTTATAATTAAATATTATTCTCATGAAAAACATAGAAGAACCAAAATCTTTGAAAAAATAAATGTCTGAGTTTAAAAACCAAAAAGTAATTTTCAAAATTTATGTATTTCTTTTTTATTATATAAAAAACTTTTAATGTTGCTCTAATATATATTTTATTGTTTAAAAATGTTTCTTGTATAAAAGTGATAGAAGATTAATGCTTAAAAGGGTTAAAGAAAAAATATTATGCACCTTATAAAATTTAATCCCTTTATATTACCAATATTTTTTATTACCTTTGTTTCAATATACATCAAGCATCTTATATGTATACTAGAATCTCAATATAGTAAAACACTTCAAAATTGGAGGCAACATTCCTTTTATACACGCTAGGCCGCTGATCTCTATACTTAACTATACTATATGTAACTGGATACGGGATAGGGCGAAAAATCTGTGACCAATTGAAGCTTGAAATTGGATCCTCTCTTTATAATATGGCATTTTTGCGCTTGCATAATAATGCGCTCCTTGACGCTATTTCCGCTTTACAATATAAAATTCTTCGCTTCGATTGATCCATTAAACGCTTCAAAGCGAAAAAAAAATTATATCATATTTTCTGCAACATAATGCAGTTGTACTATTTATTTATTATAAATATACATATGTACACATGGTCACTAAAAGAGGCAGTTGTTATAAATTTAGATAACACTCGATTTGGTTGAAAAAATTTTTCGATCTTATCAAATAAAGCGGCAAACCTAAATTATTTGTCAATTTTAATTTTGCTGAATTGAAACATTAGTTGTTATTTGTATTTAACGTAAAACGTTTTATATAACTTTCAACAGTTTCCAATAATGTTAGCACAACATTTAAATTCAAATCAATACTGAAAAACAATCTTGGTGAAATAATAATCCATAAATATCTCTCTTAAATATTTCTTGAAATATATTTCTATTTGAAGTAATATTTCTGAAACAAAAAACAAGATTTATCTTAATAAAGAGCATCCGTTTGTCCATGTTATGATCGCTCACAACCTCCGATTGGTGCTTACATTTTTATTTAGATTAATTAATCAGGAGGTTCCATAGGTAATCAGATGTTATTTGTTAAATATAAACATTAGTAATATTAAATTTTTGAAAAACGATATTTACATGTGTTATCTGTGCCGCTCGAATCACTCAATTGATAAATAAATGGATTCAACTTCTTATAGGAGCATCGTCGACGGATTCTCTATGAAATCCTTAAAGGCAACTAACCATTGTGCACCTACCGCACCATCAATGGTACGATGATCGCAACTAGCAGTTACAGTCATATATTGGGCAGTTGTGAATCTGTGGAAACATATTTATAATACTTGTAATATAATTGCATGTCATACATAGTAAAAGAATCTTTTGGCGAAAATATTATGAAATATTACAAAGATTTACCCTTTCTCATTTTTGGCAGGTATCAGTTTAGTCTCTGTGCCACCTACAGCAAGAATAATAGATTGCGGAGGGTTTATTACAGCAGCAAAGTTCTTAATTCCAAACATGCCTAAGTTAGACACAGTAATTGTTCCTCCTTGGAATTCCTGCGGTTTTAACTTTCCTTCTCTCGCTTTTGCGGCTAATGCCTTCACTTCTTTACTAATTTGAACTATACCTTTCGTATCGGCACCGAACACTATGGGAGTAATTAGACCACTATCTGTGCTTACTGCTACACTAACATCTACATTATTGTATCTAGAAAAAAAGATGCAATTTGTGTTTAATATAAAATATATTCAAATATACTAAATTACATGTTATTATATTTATAATAATAAATGTAATATGCTTACTGTCTGATTACATTTCCTAACCAGGCACTGTTGCCTTCTGGGATTTTTTTACACGCCATAGCCATTCCTTTGATGATAATGTCGTTTATACTCAATTTTACTTTATCTTTTTCTAACAATTTATTAAATTGTTCTCGCATTGCCAATGCAGCATCCATTTTTACATCTATTGAAAGATAATAATGCGGAATTGTCTGCTTGCTCTCCAACAAACGTTTAGCAATAATAGCACGTATGTTTGATACAGGAATATCTATTGCTCCAACTGGTGCACCAACTGGTGTCCCAACTGGTGCTATTCCTGGTTGAACTACAGTAGCACCTTCCAGATCTTTGGATGTTATAGAGCCATATAATCCTGTTCCTTTCAAACCCTACAAAAGAAGAACAGAAAAAGAAAAATATATATATATTTTATAGATGTATTTACAAATTATTCGTAAGAATACATTAATTAAATATATTAATTTAGGCACAACATAGTTAATTTTGAAATTAAGAATTAAAAAATATTACTAAGGGATAAAACTCAAATTGAAAGAATAAAGACAAGTTGGCTTATATCTGCTTTCATTTCTTTAGTTTCATATAAATTAACAATTTTATAGTACCTGTAAACTAAGTCCTTTCTCAGTTGCTAATCTTCTCGCTAAAGGACTAGCATATATCCTTTCTCCAGAAGGCGGTGGAATAGAAGGAGCTTTTGCTACAGCTGGTGCAGATGGTGGTGTCGGTGATGGTACAGATGGTGTTGGGACTGCTGGTGTAGGAGATACAGGAGGAGGAGCAGTCACTGTATCATCTTTAAAGTCTTTAAATGCAACTATATTCGATTCATCTTGCACAATAATGCAAACCAGTTTGCCTATGGGCACATTTTTTGTTCCTGCAGGTACCAAAATTTTGGCCAAATAACCTTCTTCGGGAGTTTCAAATCCCATTGTGGCTTTATCTGTTTCAATCTCTGCTAGTAAATCACCTTCATTTAACTTATCACCTAAAAAATTTAATATGAAAGATTTAAATTCTCTCTCTCTCAAGAAATAATTCTATACTCTTTACAAAATTGGTTCTATACTTCTTACATTATATTATTATTATAATATCAATAAACAATCTCTCGTACCTTCTTTTTTTTGCCAACTGATTATTGTTCCTGTCTCCATGGTGGGAGACAATGCTGGAAGTGGGACTTTGATATGATCGGGATAATCCACATAAAACCTGAATTGTTGCTGCCATGGTGTTAATTTACAATGTAAAACAGTGTGATGCTGAATAAAAACCCTGAATAAAGAAAAATAACATTTTTTTGCATATTCTTTCGTGTATTCTTTTGTGTATAATTAATAATGATTATATAAGACTTTTGTATGTCTTTGATGTTACTAGCTTGACAAGAGATTAATATGCAAATAACTATATTATAAAAGTTTAAATTCCCTGTATTAGATTACATTGGAGTTAACGTAAAATAACCTTAATGATCGTTTTAATTCGCAAAATGTAAATAATCATAGTAAGATTTAAATGTGAGGATGATTCTAGATCGCAGACGAAATACCTCTGTTGATGTTTTCTGTGAAGATAGCGGATAACTATGGATCTGACGGTGTTGGTTCGTACAGAACCGCGGACGATAGAGCGGGCCAACCGTATGCTCGATATGGTTCGTATCATATCTGTCAGAATTCTTAACAATGATACGAATTAGTCTAAAACTTTTGACACGCGCGCGCGAGTCCAAAAATTTCGAGCTATCCTATAAAGATGATCCGTTCGTCAACAATCTAGGTTTATCGTGAAACTACAAGAAGCAGATGACCAAATGACGGACGATATTAAATACCAAACCAGAGGTCGTCAGCAAGGTCACGTGGTTTTTTCACATCAAGTGTTCAGAAACATTAAGGCCTATCCAGACGGATTTGCATAATCGCGTAAATATATGCATAAAGAAAATGATTGGTCCAGTTCTTTATGCATTTGCTTAGGGACCAATCAATTTCCTTATACATATGTTTATGCGACTATACAAATCCGTCTGGATAGACCTTTATTGGCTCCTATACACAGGACGCGGCAACGTTTGTCGCGCGGCAAAAGGTGATGAGGTAGCCAATCAACTTATAGTTTTTCTATAAGAGTGAAAGATTGATTGGCTATCGCGTCACTTTTGGTCGGGCATCCTGTATATAGAAGCCGGTAATATGTAGATAGATCGTGCCGAAGCTAATCGGTCCCGATTAGCTTTTGAAGCTTAATAAACAAAAATAAAATATAATTTAACTTATCAATTTGTAATTTGATATTAGTATACAAACATTATCTAAAATTGATTTAGCCGTCTATTTAATTATATATAATTAATATAAGATACGATCACATACATTTATAGAGGTCAATTTAACTTTAAAATATTTATTAATGACGAAGCCTCTCGGTGATCAATTAATAATAAAGGCACTCGTTCGGAAACAGAGAAATTTGATTCTTATACATATATATACCCAGACAGCACAAAACGTCCTCAGGATCATCCTGAATATGTCCAGGATGGTTATGGATATTTGTAGGATGTTTTAAGATATTATTATAAATATATTTTATGAAAATTTAATATGCATACATGATTACTTTCGGTTATGTAGGCTATTTAATATAATTTAGAAATTTTAAGTATTGTAATAAGTATTAATGTCCTATAAATGTCCATTGGATAACCCCTGGATGTCTGTAGGATATCTGCCCTGTCTATTACCCAGACAGCACAAGGATGTCCTTAGGACGTCCAAAGGGCATCCAATATAATAGACAGGGCAAATATCCTACAGACATCCAGGGGTTATCCAATGGACATTTAAAATATCCCTAACATATCCTATAGAAATCTTTAAGATGTTCCACAGGATCTCCCTGGATTATCCAGAGGCTAGTGTACGGCTATTATTTACTCTTCCTCAGGACATCCAGAGGAGATCCGAGGATTAAAATAGGATATCCTCAGGATATCCTACATGTATGTCCTGGATGCCCTTTGGACGTCCTAAGGACATCCTTGTGCTGTCTGGGTATTGTGTGGATTTTATTACTATATTAATAAAATTATGGCTAATCGTATATTTTGCTGTTAATCACAATCGCATATTTAAAATTTATAAATATTTATAATTTAATAATACATATACATTAATTTATAAGTATATTATAATCATGATGTTATATATATACATATATATTTTACATTTATAGCTTATTTATGTTGGACGGAGGATGAAAATTTTTCTTCCAAAGATCTTTTACATATTTTATTCCAAAAATGATTTCCAGTTGTAAACAAAACTTGCTATACAAAAATAATAAGAATGTATAAATTTCAGCAAAATTACAAAATTACGTAACAAGCTATAATATCTAACTTATTATAATTTGTAATTTTAGTATACAAACATTCTCTGAAATTGATTCGGTTATCCACTTATATCCAAGGGGGTTTTGATAGATGACATCTGAAATAGATTTATTTTGCGACCATAAAGCTATCAACGAGGATTCATCGGGAAATATATATGTTCCTATACCATTCATCGCTCCGTTCCTATCAACATTACCCTTATATTGCGCATTATTGTTGTATCTTTCCAAAGATAAATATAAAGATGTTATTAGAATTATTAAATAGCATTTCACGATATCATCTATTTTATATATAATGTAAAACGTATTAATTACCGAATGTGAAAATTACCGGCAAACTTATCATCGTTCCATGTACCATTATATACATCAAAGTTATCAGTTATGTATACTCCTTGATCTATAAATTGCGATAACGAATACAAATATTAATATGTACATCATTTGTCAGTCCAAATAATATATATATTGATAACTACTAGATATAGAGGAAATGTTATAACCTTGTTTAACTAAAGTGCATCTGTCAAAATCTATTTGATATTTTCCCTCGTAATTATCTCCATTTTCAAAAGTAAATTTTGCAATACCGATTCTTATGTTCGTCTCAGCTGCTTTAGAAATTTCATTTGAATGTTTCATATTTTAAGGATTTCTCTTTCCTTTCTTTCTTTATTTTTTATTCTATATAAAAACTTTTTTTGCATATATCCCCAGACAGCCAACTGTCATCTGTGAGGTTGCTATCATCTTGCCAACAATTGTTGAAGCAGCTAAACAAGAACTTTTTGAAAAACTATTAGGAACAAGACAGCATTGTATTTGTAGTATTGAACTCATGTGAATTCTAATTCGAAAAACAGCAAATTGATGCCTCAATATGATTAACCACGCTTGGTTATATATATATATGTACAAAAAGTATGTACAATAGAAAAAGGATCGATTATAATTATCAAGAGAAGCAAAAATATTTTTCAACGGCATATTTTCCCAAATTTTACACATTTAACATATCAGATAAATTTAGAAAAACAAATAATAGTTTATTACATGTCTCATATGTTATAAAGTACAAAAATGTTATACAATATAACACATAACGTGTATTTTAATTATTCTTTTATATTTGCAAATATAAGCTTGCTATGGCACACTGTATAAAGCTTGATTAACTTTGTATAATTAAAATTTGTCTTTAAATCTAGCTGTTTACAGAGAAAAAAAAATATTCCAAATATTTGCTAAGATTTACATTTATATATTTTTAATATAGTATGAACTATAGTATGAGATATTACTTATGTTACATCCTTTTAATGCCTTTATATCAACGTAGCATACGGTATTACGTAATTTATCACTTAAAATTATACTTTGGAGAATTGAGAAGCCGTGCGCAACGTTCATTATAGATCGTTTGTAAATTTTGCATCTAAAAATACCATTCATTTTTATAATGTAAATATCTTCTACATACGTAGGATAGTAAATAATAAAAGTAGTGATTTTTACAAATTATGTAGAATTGTTAGACATTTGTAGTTATATGGTACAAGCTTCTGCAACTTTATATATATTAGTATCAAATTAGATATTCTCGCTCTAATACAGTCGAACTTTCATATTTCTTAACATATCGAGACCAAATAACTTTCTTACTCTTAATGAATCTGTTTAATTTTTATTCGAATTGCATTAGGACATTCGTTTTATTTGTCCTTTCCGTACTTAGATTCTTCGCTCTTTCTCTCTCTCTCTCTCTCTCTCTTTCTTTAACGAATATATGTATATTTATCTCGTGTCAAGTGCAAAAAATTTTAAAGAGTGCGAGCAAAACGAACAGACTTATAAATCTAGCTGTTTCCAGAGAAAAAAAAACATGTTACGTAAAAAAATAGGGATTATATGCGAAAAAGTTCATTTACCATTATTTACTTAAGAATATTACAATATGGTTACTACAAGATTAAAGGCAAATATTTTCATATCGGTTTTTATATTGTTCCATATGCCGACAAAAAATTGTTATTTAAAAATATTTCTCGATATATATATATTCTTAAATAGCTTTAATACCGTTTCGTATACACGCACGCATACATACACAAATATAATATTATATATATACCTTTTAATGCCTTTATATCAACGTAGCATACGTAATTTATCACTTAAAATTATACTTTGGAGAATTGAGAAGCCGTGCGCAACGTTCATTATAGATCGTTTGTAAATTTTGCATCTAAAAATACCATTCATTTTTATAATGTAAATATCTTCTACATACGTAGGATAGTAAATAATAAAAGTAGTGATTTTTACAAATTATGTAGAATTGTTAGACATTTGTAGTTATATGGTACAAGCTTCTGCAACTTTATATATATTAGTATCAAATTAGATATTCTCGCTCTAATACAGTCGAACTTTCATATTTCTTAACATATCGAGACCAAATAACTTTCTTACTCTTAATGAATCTGTTTAATTTTTATTCGAATTGCATTAGGACATTCGTTTTATTTGTCCTTTCCGTACTTAGATTCTTCGCTCTTTCTCTCTCTCTCTCTTTCTTTAACGAATATATGTATATTTATCTCGTGTCAAGTGCAAAAAATTTTAAAGAGTGCGAGCAAAACGAACAGACTTAATGCATATGTGTAGGATAAACACGTTGTTGTGCGTTGATTGCATTATATGTAGTGAAATTAGAAACAGTTTGTTCTTTTACTTTTACTTGCTTTCTCATTTTATGGTATCATGGTCACGTAATCACAAATGTGAAATAGTGACGGAATAGCGCAGAAAAAAATGTTAAAATACTAAGATGTTAAGAAAACGAACATTTGACTATATTATTCTTATATATCTAATACTAATATTATTTACAGATTCAATATCACATTTTTGTAACAGAATATATTATTCATCTATTTTTCTTAATCGATACGAAATCATCGTTTATGTGGAAGTTTTTTACGTTTACACTAAATCAATCAACCTTGCTATATTTACCTATTTTTGCTGACAGCTAAAATATTTGTAAGATCAACATACAAAAAATTAAAGGCCAACACTAATACCACACAAAATAGAAGTGCATTTGACAACAAATATCTTAAACCAAAAATATTAAAACCAAAGCAGAACGAGAAAGTTTAAGGTTTTCTCTCGGAGCTGGAGATACGTCTGGTCAATTGTTGATGGATAGTTTTTTGATCTTTTGATGATGAAACAATACATGTTTCCTCCGCTATAATTGTAGCTGTAGTTGCACATGCGCCATCCGCATGGCCCGGTGAAGCATCTTTGACTAATCCACGAAGCAGCATGGCGGAGCACGACCACGGAAACATCCTGCATTTCAAATATATATTTTGGTTCATGTGTGCAATAATACTTATAATAAACTACTCACCACTTTAAAGCTAGCAGAATTTGTAAGTAGCCTGGAATAATGGCATACTTCTCATTGCATCTCATTGCTGTTATGATCTTGTCAGCTACGGTGTTTGGACTCAGAGTTGGAATATATCTACATTACATTTCAAATATAACAAATTTTTGAAATTAATTGCGTCAAATACATTTATGTGTAAAATACATTTATTCAATCAAATATTTTAGATATTATTTACCTTGATTGAACATCGTCGAACATACCGGTACTACGGATGAAGTAAGGGCATACGACCGTTGTATTGATATCGTATCCTTCGTACTATAGTAAAAGAGAATATAAAATAATTGATTGATTAGCAATATTAACAATATTCAAACCGGGCAGGCTTATTCCGTGACTTTTAGCGCATGCATTATAACTATAATGCATTTCTTTACATAGTTACGAGTTCTGTAACACATATGCGTTATAATTATAACTCATGCGTTAAAAATTATAAAATAGGTCTGCAGGAGTTCGACTTCTCATAGGTTGTCACTGGACAAATTGCAGTTACCTCAAGTTCCATCCGAAGAGCCTCGTCAAATCCCATAGCCGCAAATTTAGATGTACAATAATCTACCAATTTGGGAACTCCACATTGCCCGGCCAAACTCGCCACGCTCACGATATGTCCTTTATTATTCTCTAACATCGTTGGAAGAAAGGCCTTTACGGTCTAAAAATGCATTATAGAAAAATATTATTATTATAATTATAACAATTTTCAAAGCATTTATTAATTTCATTGTTCTTCTATTGACGTTTATCACACGTTTGATACATAATTTTAAAACTTATAAAAATTAATCTTTTGTAGTACACACTTTATATTATTACAAAAATAGTTTAAATAGCTACAAAATGATTATAGTATATATAGTATATGTATAAAGGAAAATTGTCAAAATTGTACTACTTAAAATATTTTATTTTTATTTATTGTATCTCTCATTTAATACTAATTTGTACGCAAGTTAATGTTGGACATTGTAGCTAGACACATCTACTATTATATCTTTAACTTTTTGCAAAAAACAAATTTGTTTGTTTTATAAGCCTTTTTATGACTGTAAGCAAGCTAAATATAAATGCAAACGTAACAGTAAAAAAATTTTTCAAAAAGAGAAAAAAAGAATAGCATGCCGTGATTATTTAAGTAAAAATTCTAAAATGGATTTCTCAAAATAGTGTGATCTGAATCAAAATTTAGAGAAGTTACATTATTACTTTAAATTAAAAAAACGGAGATGTGTGGAAACGCCACGCAAATCAAATGAAATCATTTCAAGAGGACAAAGTGATAGAAAATTGAAATCACCTATTCTTAGTTTACCCAGATTCTTTAATCAATATATAACATCAAGTAATAGTGATAATGTTAATGTTAGAACGCTAAATGTATGTACAGATGGGTATAGAAGTGCCTTCTTATATAAAATTGCATGAGTATCGTGGTACATTCGATTCGCATGCTTCATCTTTAAATATTTACGCATCGTGATTGTTAGTCATTCCAAAAATAGCGTCATAAAGCAGCGGAAAAATGTGATTGATAGTTTATAGATCGATTAATCTTCTAATCTTATTTTGTCATATGTCAAACACGAATATGTCAAACTGTAAACTGTCAGTCACATTTTTTTGTTGCTGTTTAAGACGGCATTACCGACGTAACAGCATTACGTCGTAAAAATAAATATTTTTATACAAAATATGCATGTTTCTTTTTAGACACTGTGTATAAAATTTTTTATTAAAGAGCTTATAAATGTTTAATTTTCCCCTTTGTATTAATTAGTGTTTCTAATTGTAAGTTGCAAAATTTATTTTCATAAAAAATATTTTCACAAACTCATTGAAATTTGCACGATAATACACATGACATATGAGTGAATGGAATCGCCAGTAAAGTGGAGAAGAACATTGGAAAGTGGATGGCACAAGATCCAATCGAAATGACCATGACATCGAGATGTAAAAGTCTACTATTGCTGCCGCACGGAGTTTCCTTCACGATGTTGTTAACCCACTTTTACGTTTGCCTTATTATGTTGAATATGTTTTGTCTTTGTTCACATACACAACCTTTTTTTATCAATCTCTTTGTCTATATCTTATGAATTTTATTTTTTTCATTTATTTACTGTAAATATTTATTTTTATTCCCCTCCCTTTTTGATCTTGAGGATAAAATCGGATTAGAAAAACAATAAAACAAGAAATTAGACATCAATTTGAATCTAAGATATTGTCTCTATTTACATATATCACATCGATATTTCATAACATTTACAATAATAAAAATAAAAAAACTATAATTACTTATTTTATTGTCGATCACAAAATCTTAAGAGAACTGAAATTCTTAAAAAGTGATAATCTCGCTGTTAATTTAATTAGTGTAAATTCTTTAATTATTTGCAAAGATTGTTGTGAGAATTATCTAAAATCATATATCACGATTTTATATAAATTATAAATAAAATTAGGATCCATAAATGGCTTCAAACATTCTCATCAACATTCACTGAAGCGTAAAATGATAAGTTTATAACGATACGAGCAATAAAATGCAATATGCTATATATTTTTTCTTTTTTATTGCAAAAAAGAAAATACAATACTAGCATTAGAGGCCTCATAAAATTTTTCTTTTATTAAGAAAGAAATTTTGATTAAATAGATAACAAAAAATTATATATATTAATATAATTATGTATAAACAAAAAAAAAAATATATATATATATATATATAGTGTGTGTGTCGTGTGCTTGCGTGCGTGCGAGCGTGCGTGTGTGTGTATAACTTATGTAAATATCTTATATACATATTGAAATAACTTTATTCTTGTACAATTATTTTTTCATAATATCCGTTAACGTTGCTCTATTATTTCTTCCAATCTTTTAATGTTTTTATTTTATTTTACATTATGTTTTATTATTTTATACGTAATTTTATACTTAATCATCTTCAATTTGTTCTTATGTAGCAAACACAGTTTAGATAAAATGTTATATAGAATGTCGGTTTTAATATAATAGAACATCTTTTTTTATATTTTATATACCCGTAGATTTATGTATCTCAATAAAAGTAGTTTTACAAAAATATAAACAAACCATTCAAAGCAATATTACAATTATGTCGTGTAATGGAAATATGTTATTACGACAAAATTATTTTATTCTTCGGAGACAAAATATATAAGAGTAGAATCAATAAAATTACATTTTGCCAAAAATTCAAAGCAAATAAAAGTTTGCAAGCGTATTGCCTATTAAGGAATTTAAATTAAGGAATTATTTGCGTTTGGCAAGCATACTGTTAGTGTATGTCGCAACGAGACTACAACATACTACAAAATCGCTTGCACCTATCTGACCGGTTCTTGCACCTGACCAGCGGCAACAAATAGGAGGAACAAAATGGAATGCCGCTCACTGCCGATTCTTCGCGATATATGTACATATGTGTATATATATAGTTACATATATATATATATATATATATATGTATAGATATGTGTGTGTGTATGTATATATATATACAAGGTGTCCCCAATTTAAATGTCAAAACTTTAGGAGCGTGTAGGGGACCGATAAACTAAGTTGAGCAACGAGGTTATTTTCAGTACATATTTTTCGAGATGCGACACATGTGGCGTTATTATTTCGTATCATTTTTCATCTCGATTCTATATGTATATATGTGTGTGTGTGTGTGTGTGTATATATACGTATATTCACCGCGATAACTAGATGTGATAATTATTTTTGAATTATTCAAGATTCTTCACACAGTTTGAATTAAAATCTCTCAAACTTACAGCAAGCTGGATAATTCAAAATATCATCGCTCATGATATGGCGGTTGTGTCATATCATTTCGAAATCGATTGCTAAATCTTATTACAAAACCTAGAGCAAGAGAGTTGAGAACATGCAAAACTACTTTTCACAGAGTCTGAACGTTATTTCGTTTTTGAGTGTTTTTTTCGCCGTAAAATATTTTCAAATTATTAATATCTTTCATACAGTGAATATATATATTTCCATATATTTCAAAAAGTTAAAAAAAAAATAGTCATATATGTCAATATTATTTAATCTTTATAGTGTTGATATATAAGCAATATAATACACATTTCAACTTTAAATGAGAGTTTATAATTTCTATTTACCCAAAAATGGCTCATGATGTTAACATCCATTGTTCTGATGATAAGTTCGTCCGGAGTGTCCAGCAATTTCGTTCCCGTAACAATGCCCGCATTATTAATAAGTATCGTTACCTAAAAATAAAAACACAAAAATAATTTATTTTTGCCTAAAACAAATTAATTATTATTTTGTGTATAACAAAACAAAAGTAATATATTACGAAAGTTGAAAACGAAAAACAAGGAGAATTATATAATATAATATCATCATTGAATAGAGAGCTCGGATAAAATCAGAAAAGATTTCTTTTCTCGCAATTTTTAAAACAAGTCAAACTCACATATCGGCCTAACATATCACATCGTTATGGAGTAACATGAACTTTCATAATGTCGTCCGCAGAAAAGTACTCGTTGACGAATAATGCTTCGTCGAATCGCGAATTATTTATCTTTTAAGAAAACATTTTTTTTGCATTCCCTATTTGCAATCTATCTAGAATCTAGATCGCCAAGATTAATATACATATATTATATATAACTCCTATACTTCGCATCAAGAATTAAAAAATATATAATAAGGAGAAGAGAATGATCTCTAAATTATATTACAATAGTTTTAGACAAGAAAAAAAGAACCTTAGACTGTCACACATTGGCCTTTTTCTTTTACAATTATCGTTTGAAAAACTGATATAATTTCGGTGATTTTAATTTTCGCCAGTATTGTACATAAATGAAGAAGTATCGATTTTTGCGTATTGTTTATTCATGAATATATATGAAGATATCATTATCATATCACATTTTTTATACATCTTTTTGATGCTGAATTATAGACATATAAAAATAGATGCAGTATGCTATGCATTGTCCATATATACATACATATATGCATGCGTGTATGTAAACATATATGTATAACAGTATGTAAACATATATGTATAACAACATCAATATTCTATTAATGTAATATTTTAATGATATTGTTTTTTTTTAGTTATTTTAAAATAATTTTCTTTTAGCTATTTTTAAATTAGTGATCGTGTTTTTTACATACATACAAACACACATGCGCGCAAATATCGATTTCTTCCTTGATGATTTTGGCTTTTTTATATACATCCTCCCGATCGCATAAGTCACAGACATAACCATGACATGTACCTCCGATCGCCCGGACCAATTTAATGGTTTCCTCGATGCCTAGAACAAAACAGAAATTTTTAATATTGCAGTTTTGCGCTTTGTTTGAAATATTTTAACAACGATAACTGCATATTGTATTTACTGCCATCATCGGAAAAAATATATAATTGTGAAATATAAGTAAAACATTAACATTTTGCAAATAACTGATGTAGAAGAAAAAGAGAAAGGCAGTTTTAATATTTCTCACAAAATCACATCTCTTGTTACTTTCTTATCAAGTTAGATGTGTCCTATTATTACAGTATACGCGCGCGCGGATCTATGAACAATATCTTTTTTTATAAAAAATAGCAATACATCTCATTACGATCTCATTAAAACATTTCTAATTATATATTGCATAAATATAACAATTACATCTAACATTAAAAAATAATAATATTCTACGCATAATATCATAAATAAAATTCACAGTAATAATTACTTACAAAATTTTGTGAAAATTAATAGTTTTTGCAATTGTCTTAAAAAATAATGTAATAACTATTTAATATAAAGTTTAATATATATTTCTTTATAATAATATCAATATTAATATTTTCTTATAATTGAACAAATATTACATCACATGCTCATTAAAAAAGCATGTAAATATATTATTCTCAAAAAATATAATATGTATGAAATTTAGATATAATATATATAATATATTTCATATGTTATGCAAAAATTTCTAGATGGAAAGTTCCGTCCTTATAACTCCGTTTTCGTTGTCTGATTGCTCGCCTAAATAGCAACTGCTCTCTTCACACACATCTGTTAGATAAAAAATGCTAATGCAATCATTTCCCATGATACTTTCACTCCTTTACAATCGATTTCTCTTAATAATACTTAAAATATATAAGCATCTTTCTCTCTCTCTCTCTCTCTCTCTCTCTCTCTTAAGAGACGCTTTGTTTATATTTAAAATAGATAAAAAGAAATATGAAAATACTTATTCGTACGTTAATAAATAAATTTGCAATGCATCTGTTTTGAAAATTATGAGAATAACAAAGATAAATGAAGAGAAAGTTAAATTAACATATACAGAGTGTTTCATTTTAATTTCCCCAGGCAAATATTTCGGAAAATAAGGAAAATTCGACGAAATGTTTCAGACAAAAGTTGTATAGTTTCTAGGTGTGTGCGCGTGATGATCTGAAATAATATAACTCTTTTCTAGGATATAATATTCGTTTGATATCTGACTTTTGTAACGGTTAACCAGTTTGCAAACCTGATTCAACAGATCGGGTATATCCGTAGACCTTAAATATTGTACCACTTCTTGTTATCGAGGCGGAGTGTATCCTATATACATCGTTTTTCATTAAAATACATGTCTGAGAAGGAAAAAAATAATTTTGTTTAAAGAGCAACTTAATTGACAAATATTGAAGTGCTTAAAATTAGATACGAAAGTTAAGTATGATAGTATCAATACGCGATTGCATCTTATTATATAGTAAAGCATGTACATATTTCAAGTATAATATTACAATATTATAATTATTATATTAAATACGGTCATTTATAATTAGCACAGAAAAATTTGATGTGTTACTTCCAAAATGTTCTTGAAATAAAAAAATGGATTCTAGGTGAAGCGGTCTTTTGTTGTAGTATTGTTTAAAAAAATAAAATTAAATTAAATTAATGATTATACAGACAATAAATGATTATACAGAAATCTCAACAGATTGAGTTTTTGATATATTAGATTAGATTATATTTTTATTAATTATATTATTTTATTCATTTTTAAATCTAATATAGTTACATACATGTTAAAAAGTAGTAACACAAAATAGGAAACGCATTCGATTATGGTAATATTTATATAAATTTTATGTTGGATAAACAATCATCACATCATTTCGTGATAGAAACATGAATATCTCCATAGTTAATTTTACAAGTCATTGCTGTCATTAAACATTTGATAGTAATTGGCAGAATACTTATAATAATGCAATTATTGACACTAATTATGTAATTAATTAGAGAATAATAATAAAGGGTTTTAGTCAAAATAATAATAGCTTTTGTTCTTGACGCGATTTGATCTCTCTATCTCTCTCTCTCTCTCTCTCTCTCTCTCTCTCTCTTGTAGAAGATTATCAAATATACGTAAAAGAAAGAAATATTTTTTATTTGCACTTGATTTTGATAAAAAGAAAGATTATTTATATAATTTCACTCAGTATCTTTTAAATCTGATAACTTTTTCTCATATTTTTTTTTCTACGAATAATTTCCCCACTACATACGTGAGAGAATTGCCGATGTTTTGTATGTTTGTACATAACATCTTGTCATCAGATCAGTAACATTATGACGTGTGTGTTTTTTAAACCTTGTTCTTTGTTTTATTTGTGATTGCTTGATGAATGTCTCTTTTTTATCTTTATCTTTATCTGACATTTTTTTATCTAAATTTTTATACTATTTTTTTCAGCTTCCTCGAATTTTAATGTTTGATTATTTTGGAATAATTTCCGCATTTCTTAACGACTGGTACCAATAGGAAATTTATCAATGATAAAAGCTAAAGACATTAAGAACCACTAAAGGACTCAGGAATAATTATTTTACTCTGGTCTAACGAAGGTAGTCCAAAGAAAGAATCGAAATGTTCAAATTAATTAAAGAAGATATCAATTTGTTCACCTAATATGACCTAACTTTATTTATTAATAACTAATTAATTGAATAAATAATGAGCAACGGCTAAAATCTTTTGGAGGTTACTCAAAATGATGACCTTGACAGTATATGTCAAGATCAAGATTATTGAGTTCTCTTTTATGCTTATTTATCTACTTTGCTATTTCTTATATTTCTTTCCTGTGCATATTCTGAAAATCGTGTGTCTATAAATTAATAATTTTACAAGTGATGATCTAAGAGTTCAATAGTCTGCCCGCGTTTCATAGTGACCATGAAATTCGGCAGTTCAATTGGCCTTGCATTTATAGTGAGGCCTTCAATCACATCTTTACTGCTTAGTTTTTATTAATCATCAATACTTCCCGAACGGTTTCAATTTCGTGGCCTTCATTTATACAATTTCGTCATTATGCGCACGCGTATACGTGAAATGATTTTTTATTCAAGCGATATTATCACTAACAAAGTTACACAATTTCGAATTATTTACAATCTATTTAAGTATAATACATATTACTTTGACTTGTTATAATTTTATATAAAGTGTATTGCACAATAAATTTTTACATCATTTATAATATTCCAAATTTTAATTTTATTGAACATTTGAAAAACATGGAATAATGAATAACTGCAAAATTATTGCGACAAAAGAAGATTCCAACAGTATTTTATGATAGTTAGTATACAAATGTATGTGCATTATTCTACTTCTCCCAAGTTTATAAGTATAGTTTTGTTTCTATTGGATACACACGTGTGTATTTTTAATTTGTCTATATAGTGATTTTTTCAAGCGTTTACATTCATTCTATGTTAACAAGCATATCATATGTTCTTGGAATCAAGAATCATATAAAACATATATAATCATTAGAGTTTATTATAGTTATTAAATGTATCAGTTTATTATATTTTATTGCGAATTTTTTGTTTACAATATCTAGTAGTTTTATAAATATATCTTTGATTCTCTATATATGTGTACCCAGTAAGCAATTTGATAACAAATTGTTGCCAAATTGGCATCAAATTCGCTCAAAACTTGGTAACAAATCCAGTGTCATCTGTGTCCGCATTAAGCTTGTGTTTTGGTGACAAAGCTTGCTGACATAACCTGACAGAAAGTTGACGGCAAAAAACGAGCAAAGCTTGACATGACTTGACGTCAAATTGGTGGCAAAAATCGAGCAAGATCTGCGCAAGACAATCTGACAGCAGATTGTCAGCAAAAACCGAACAAATTCTGCAGCTTTTGGCCATTCATATAAAATAGTATATTTAAATGGATTTAAAGTCTCAACCATAAGTAACAAAATGATGATAAGTTTTAGTCACTCTATATATGGGTATGTGTTTTATATTATGCGACATATCAAATAATGTATAGAATTTGATCTTGTGCATTGTTACAAATTAAATATTGTATATAAAATTGGAGAATTTTTCTTATTTACTAATTTATTTTTTAATCTCACCGCTTTTATTTATATCCCAAACGATGACAATGGCACCCAGATTGGCCAGCCTGAGGGAAAGAAGCCTGCCCAATCCACCGCCACCTCCTGTCACGAGAGCGATTTCGCCATCTATGCTTTTCATCTTATACCTTTTGGGAATAAATGACCTGGTAACGCCCTTCAATATTGCAATAATAGACAGTACTAGGAAGCCAATCACTTCTCCGATTGAACGTAAATACGTCATAATGATGTATACACGTATCCTATGCGCGTGTATAGTGTCGTGTAAAGTCAACGAGAGCTGTCGCTTATCAAACTCTCTGTACAACTTTTCTGTGAAAGGATCACTCTATCATTTCTTGAACTGTAACGTTTTAACGTTACATAGAAGTCGGATTAAGGTCACGGTTAGGCTTTATGAAATAAAAACCGACGATTATACTGACTCAACATTATCTGAAGCACATATCTGAAACATAAAAACATAAAATATCATATCTTTATTATAATATGTTTTTCTGTTACTTATAAAAACATAAATTATATTTCATTTGTCATTTGTATCCGTATATTTAACGTTTTTTTTTTTTTTTTTA